CGAAGGTACTGTCCAAGATGTACAACATACTACTGGAATGGGAAACTAAAGATGAAAAAATCAAACAAGTTATGGTTAAATGGGCAAAAGACCTGGGACATGATATAGAATACGAAAAATGGTCAAAACTATGGAGCGAGGGACTAAAATTCACGGCAAGCGCTGCAATCAGGGAAAATTTAGAAAAAATGATATACAGATGGTACCTCACACCAGAAAAATTGAACAGAATGTACAAGACCGTAGACAAGGCTTGTTGGAAATGTAGGACGAAAGAAGGTAATTTTATACATATGTGGTGGACATGTGAGGAAATCAAAAAATTTTGGGATCAGATATATAATGAGTTAAAAAAGATATTTAGATATACATTTCCCAAGAATCCTGAGGCCTTTCTATTAGGGATGGTCGGGAAAGAAATTCAAGAAAAAGATAAAATTTTATTCCAATATTCAACAGCTGCGGCCAGAATGTTAATCGCTCAAAATTGGAAAAGTACAAATCTCCCAACGGTGAGGGACTGGCAATTAAAATTACATGACTTTATCGAATTAGCAAGATTGACACAAAAAATTAGAAATTACAAAAATACAAAGTTAAAAGAAGAATGGAGTAAATTTATGGCTTATTTTGAAGGTAATTTTAAAAACTTACCAAATACAGCAGGTTTAGTGTAAAACTCCCGATGTGCAAATTATAGATACAAAACCAGCGGTAAAAAGATAACTACTGAATGTAAAAACCCGAAATCAGTAGGGAAGGAAGTCGACAATTTTACGTTTTTATGTTGTAGTTTTTTGTCTTGCTTTTTCTTCCCTCTTGTCCGATTTTTTATTTTTCCTTTTTTTTTCGTCTCTTTATAGTACTTAAGTGTCGTGATTTTTTGTTGAATGTTGTGTTTTTTTTTCTTTTTGTGTGCATAAAAGAAAATCAATAAAGATTATTTAAAAAAAAAAAAAATAAATAAAAAAAATAAAGCCAAGTTTGTGCTTCAATCCACCTTGCAAGATAGAGAGAGGAATGAAATGCAAATGGTTTTCATCATGGGTAGGCAAACTAAGGCCCGGGGGCCGGATCTGACCCAATTGCCTTCTAAATCCGGCCCATGGACGGTCCGGGAATCAGCATGTTTTTACATGAGTACAATGTGTGCTTTTATTTAAAATGCATCTCTGGGTTATTTGTGGGGCATAGGAATTTGTTCACCCCCCCCAAAAAAAAATATAGTCCGGCCCCCCATGAGGTCTGAGGGACAGTGGACCGGCCGCCTGCTGAAAAAGTCTGCTGACCCCTGGTTTTCATTGATCAACAGGAGGGCTATGGGCAGGGCAGAAAAGGGTTTGGCAGTTTGTTGCCCCGGTCATGACGAATTGCACTCCATCCCACCACTCAGGGCTAGGCTGAGCCTTGGGGGGTGGGCGGTAAGATGGGGGGGGGACCTCCATTGCACTGTGGGGCTGAAGCTCAGACTACATACCCTGCTGCCTGCAACAGGATTCCTGAATGTTGGAAGATTCGGGACAGATACAAGGAAGCGCAGCGCAGTTGAACTACGGAACTCACTGCTACAAGATGGCCACCTAGACAAATTCATGGGGGGTATTGATGGCTACTAGCTAGGGTGATTCTGTTCTGCCTCCACAACCCTTCTCAATTTCTGCTGCTGGAAACCCCAGGAAGGGAGAGATGCTCTTGTGCTTTTTCCAGACATCGTGGGCATCTGGGCAGCCACTGTGAGAACAGGATGCTGGAAATAATAATAATAATAATAATAATAATAATTATTATTATTTATACCCTGCCCTCCCTGGCCAGAGCCGGGCTCAGGGCGGCTAACACCAATAAAATCACAGTACAAACATAATAGGGGGGAAAGAGGGGGGAACCAATTTAAAATACAGGTTAAAATGCAATTTAAAATGCAGCCTCATTTTAAAGTAGCTGATAAATCAAGACCATAAGGGGAGGGAAACAGAAGGGTCAGACCGAGTCCAAACCAAAAGCCAGGCGGAACAGCTCCATCTTGCAGGCCCTGCAGAAAGATGTCAAGTCCCTTAGGGCCCTAGTCCCTTGTGACAGAGCGTTCCACCAAGTCGGGGCCAGTGCTGAAAAGTCCCTGGCCCTAGTGGAGACCAATCTAACCTCCTTGAGGCTCGGGACCTCCAAAGTGTTGTTACTTGTGGACCTTAAGGTCCTCCGTGGGGCATACCAGGAGAGGCGGTCCCATAGGTACGTGGGTCCTAGGCCATTGGCCTGACCCTGCAGGCTATTCTTATGTCCAGCGGAGCTTGCCTGCTACTCCCAGGGATATTGAAAAACAAACAGGCATGAATAATGATTGATCCGCGCTGTATGCTTGACATGCTTACCTTGCGACGGAGGCCAGCTCAGCTGTCTGAGATCTGGGAAGGAAAGGGCTTGCAGCTTTCGCTTGGCATCCTTCCCTCGTCTCTCACACTGCCTCTTTGCCATTCCCGTCAGGTACCTCAGCTCACAGGTCAGCGCTGATAATCCTGCTTACTTTGACAGCAACAGGGAGAAGATCTGGCCTCACTGTACACGACTTGAGAGAGGCAGGCTCTTCTGTTTACTGCTTTGGCTTTGCAGTAATTGCATTGTGGTTTTAAGCAGGGAGCTCTTTCCGTTCTGCTTTCCCCCAGTTAAGGATGGAGGAGAAATTTGCTTCAGTTCATGGTTTTCATGGGGACCTGCCTCATTCTCACGTTGGGAAGCGATACGCAAACTGACAACCCAGGCATTCTTTCAAAAGAGCACTTCCCTGAATTTTGTCACGCTGCTCTCCAACCAAAAATGTTGGGGGAAAGCATTCTCACATTGCATGCATTTGTGGAAACGTTGTATAATGCATGTTATACGTGGAGAAAGCATGGCGGAAATGCGAAGGTTAGGCAAATCGGCGTACAAAAACGTGTAGAGTAGGAGAAATTTGCACTAGGGCGCAGGTGAACATTCGTAAGGTCTTAAAAGTAATTCGCAAGAACTGAACGGAAGATTGGGAAGACCAGAAAGGGAGAGAAAAAGAATCTTCCAGATTTGTCCAGCTAGCCAGTTCCAGAGTTACTCTATGGAACTCCCTGCCACAAGAGGCAGAGATGGTCACTAACCTAGATTTTAGATGGCTTCAAAGAAAATTAGACACAGTTGTGGAAGGAGAGAAGGCTATTAATGCTTACTAGTCAGGAGGGATACACCCTGCCGTTGCTGTCGGAGGCTGTTTGCCCGTTCGTTTGAAAATGTCTGTACAGGGGGAGAGAAAGGGTTAATATGTAGACCAATAGGAAAGCTGGAGGCAGAGCCTACCTGTTTATAAAAGGGCTTGGCCCGAGGTTTGGGTGTGGGTAGTTGGTTGGTTTTAGTGGGTTGGTTGGTTGGTTGGGAAAGGCAGTTGGAAACAGAGAGACAGTGCAGTTGGTTCTTGTGTGAGGGGAGGTAGAAGAGATAGAGACAGGATAAAATTATTTTGTTTGTTTGTTTGTTTGTTTGTTTGTTTGTTTGTTTGTTTGTACCCTGCCCATCTGGCTGGGTTTCCCCAGCCACTCTGGATGACTTCGAACAGAATGTAAAACAAAACATCAAACATTAAGAGCTTCCCTAATCAGGGCTGCCTTCAGATGTCTTCTGAAATTTGTTTATCTCTGACATCTGGTGGGAGGGCATTCCACAGGGCAGGCGCCACCGCCAAGAAGGCCCTCTGCCTGGTTCCCTGCAGCTTTGCTTCTCGCAGTGAGGGAACCGCCGGAAGGCCCTCAGCGTCCGGGCAGAACAATGGGGGTGGAGACGCTCCTTCAGGTATACTGGACCGAGGCCGTTTAGAATAAGACTAAGAAGGTAAAGAGTAACAACGTTTGGAATGTAGTTAAAGTTTGTTCGTGACTGCAATAAAATACACTCTTCTTTGTTAACTTGAGAACCTGACTGAGACTAAGTGATTTACCGGGGAGGACCTGGTTGGTGGCAGTGGATTAGTGGTGTACGGGTCAATAGTCCATGAGATGACCGGGGGCTCCGTACGAACACCACAGAGGCAGCAATGTTTCTGGGAACCGCAGGACAGGAGAGTGTTTCTCATGTTCTCAGGCCGTGTTTGACGGTTTTCCTTTGTGGGCCACAGTGAGAAGAGGCTGCCGGTCTAGGTGGGCCATCGGCTAGGGCTGCCGTATTTCAAAAAGCGAAAATCTGGGGGGGGGGGGGGAATCTGCCAAAATCTACACTTCCGACATGGGTTGCCATATGTCCGGATTTTTCCAGACATTTCAGCAATTTCCACCCGGAGACTGTATCTGACGGTCGAATCCTGACTACGTCAGGGAAATTCCAGACGTATGGCAACCCTACCATGGGTCTCATCCAGCAAACTCCCTTGATCTTCCCAAGATCCACCACTATCAGGCATGGGGAGTCCTCCCCTCCCTTCGGTAACTTCACAGATAAGAATTAACAAGCAGTTGATCGATTTCTAGTCCTTTTAATATAGCATCACGTTGTGAGCACAAATACACAGCTCTCCGCAAGGAGGGCAGTTGGCTCCTCTAATCCTCCTTCCGGTTTCTGCAACCGTTTTCAGTGCCAATGGGAAGTTCCTCCCTTTGACTCCTTTGCTCTCTGATACGTTTGGACCTCTGAGTCCGTGGTGAGGGGGGTGTTCCCCACGCTCTCAAGAGACGTCTCGACTAGCTGCCCCCTCCATTCTGGTTCTGTTGTCACTATATCAAAACTGAGCAACTCCTCCCTAAGCTGTTCGGCTCTGTCTCTCTCTCTCTGCTTCTGAACACGCTGTGGACGGGAAGGGGTGAATCTCCCCCCTCCAGCTCTCCATCGGAGAGAAGCTGTCATAGAATGCATTCCCCAGTCCTCATCTTCAGACCATTCCCTGACAACCATAGATTCACAGTTAGCAAGGAAAGGTGGGGAGAGGGCGGTCTCAGGAGACTCAGGGCAGGGATCAAGGAAATGCTGACTTTCTTCTCTCTTCCAGTGCTGCCCGCTGTGCCCGATGCTGACCAGACCTCCTGCGGCCTCTCTGGGTCACCCTCTGGGATTCTCACCCTCCACGCCTATGCCAGCCTGCCCCTAACCAGCAATGACCTTGTGGAACTGGCCTCCCGCCCCACCGCGCCCCCTTCCCCACTGCTCCTCCTGCCCCGCTCCTCCTGCTACCCGGATGCCTGCACCATGACAGGGGCCAGGCAGCTGGATTCCTGCGGAGGAGGGCTGTGTGGCCAGGAGCGTGGCTCGGGCTGAGGGATGGCCTCGCTGGACCTGCCCTACCGCTGTCCGCGTTGCGGGGAACACAAGCGATTCCGGAGCCTCTCCTCCCTTAGGGCTCACCTGGAGTACAACCACACCTACGAGACCCTCTATGTCCTCTCCAAAACCAACAGCATCTGCGATGCCACCGTTTTCCCCCTGGCGTCCGACACCACCCTCCTGACGCCCGCAGCCCGCCGGGACATCTTTGAGAGCACCTCCTTCCAGGGCAAGGAGCAGCGGTTCACCTGCGACCTCATCGCCACCGCCACCACTGAGGAGCTGGACCCGACATCCTCGCCCGTCGCGTCCCGCTACGTCCACGAGATCGAGATCCCCCTGACCGAGATCTTCACCCGCAAAGCCATGACCTCGGCCACCACGCCTCCCGCCGCCGCGGCCGCCGCGGTGGCTGCCGTCGATGCGGCCTATGAGGAAGGCCTGACCCGCCTCAAGATCCGGGCCTTTGAGAAGCTGGAGGTGGACAAGCGGCTGGAGAAGCTGACCGAGGAAGTGGAGCAGAAGATCGCCTCCCAAGTCGGCCGGCTCCAGGTGGAGCTGGACCGCAAGAGCTCGGAGCTGGAGAAGGCCAAGCAGGAGAGCATCCGGCTCAGCCGGGAGAAGCAGGAGCTGGAGGAGAGGGCCGTGGAGCTGTCCCGCCAGGTGGACGTCAGTGTGGAGATGCTGGCCTCCCTCAAGCAAGACCTGGTGCAGAAGGAGCAGGAGCTGAGCCGCAAACAACAGTGAGTGATGGTTTCTGTGGTGTCACAGGGACTGCTAAAATGGGGGGGGGGTTGAACCTGAGGTCCACGGGCCTGATCCGTCTTCCTTCACCCTGTCTTCTGATTTTGCCAATAGCGGCAGAGAAAAATGGAAGTAGCATCGAGGAAGGCAGAGGTTTAAACACAGGAAGGGAAGTGGGGAGGGAGGAGTCCTGGACTGGTTGGATGCAAAAGAGTGGTGGGAAGAAACTGATGGGGGGCCACCAAGGGAAGAAGGCTCAGAGCCTGGGGAAAGGTGGTGGGACGACAGTGAGTGGTCAGAGGGAGAGGACTGGGAAGAGGAGGTGTCAGAAGCTGAAGAGGTAACAGGGCTTAGTGAGCAGGGAGAGTCTGTGGCAGAGAGCAGCCCAGAATCAGAGGTAGAGGAAGAGGAGGAGACAGGTCAAGAAGCAGAGATGAGTCAGGCTGATGAAGAGTCACAGGTATTTCCCCCTCCTGCTGTGACCAGATCCCCAACCCAACCCACCCCACCCCCGGTCTCCCAGAACCAGAAGAGGCATGAAAAGGGCAAAAGAGAGATTGGCTGCACACAGGCACAGTCTCAGATTGCTTGGGGGGAATCCTGGAGACTAAGATGGCCATGGGGAGACCTTCAGTCTCAGCAACTGACTCATGGCTGCCAGACCTTCTGAAGATGAGTTGCTGCACTCCTGTGCAGATCCTGATTGTACTAAAAAAGAGTTAACTCCAACTGGCATGATGTCATTTACTGCTGGCTCGCTCCTGGCGGAAGGAAAGAGGAAGGGTGGGAGGGAAGGAGGGGGCGCAGACACAGAGTAATAGCAGAAGTTGCTTTGCACCAGATTTGTCCAGTCAGCCCAAGATTGTCCCTTCCAGCCTTTCCCAGCCCAGATGATGTGCCCTCCAAATGTGGTTGGACTACTCCAGGGGTCGGCAACATGTGGCCCATGGGCCAGATGTGGCCCACGAAGACCGTTTTGCCAGCCCACGAGCTGCCCCTGAACCGAGCCACCCACTCAGTGAGTCCCCTGTGCGCTGCGCTAAACCGGCGCAGCGCAGCACGGGGACTTGTCAAGCAGCGCTAGAAATCGTGTCTGCACATGTCCAGACGCCGAAAACTGCACTTCTGTGCAGGCGTAATTTTCGGCTTCTGGGCATGTGCAGATGCAATTTCCGGCGCCACGGACATGCGCAGGCACATGCCCACGGATGAGCTCTAGGGGAGTGATCCGGCCGATGGCTGGTAAACCTTGCTGACCCCTAGACTACTCAAAGGAAACACAAGAAGCATGGACTAATGGTTTTACCTGGTATAATCCTGCTTCCTAGGCTCTCTCTGAATGTAGAGCCTCGAGCCAATATAAAGGGTTAGTCATCCCTGTGTTAAAGGATGCCGCAAGGCGGGAAGGTAACGTTTAACACCACTTTTCAAAATTAACCTGTGGAACATAAAAGCATGCTTATGTAATAAAAACCTGTTCAATAGAAAAGTAATACACAATCAATATTAGAATCAGTCAAGCAGAGGGAGGTTTTTTAATAAAAAAAATATTACATATAGCAATGTAAATATTTGAGAGACACAGATATGAACCATGGCTTGCCTGTTTGGCATCATATGGTCCACAACTTAGAAAATGATGCAGAGCGGAGAAATGGAGAGAGATAAATCATGCAGCTAGTCCTTAAGTTCATGACTGGTGCTCAGAGATCTGCCTTGGTTGCCAATCTGCCACCGGGTCAGGTTCAAGGTGTTAGTATATAAAGCTCTTAATAAGTTGGGGCGAGTTTACCTACGAGTTTCACCTTCAATCGGCGAAATGCCACGTGATTCCTGTTCCACATTTGTAAGAACCCATTCACTGAGCATGGTAGCTAAGGGACTTTGGAACTCCCTGCCTGTTGATATCAAGCTGGTGCCTTCACTGTATTCTTTGCAGCTGCATTTGCAGATCCAAAATGGCACCAGACTGGGCAGTGTGGGTGGAGGTCCTGAGCTACCCAGATGGCAAGACCCCTCTCTTGGCCACGCTGATGGGGTCCTAAGAAAAAGTAGAGCAAGATGTTTGGCACCAGTTTCGCTGCAGGAATCACTGGTAGGAGGCCATCCAACTGCCTTAGGGACTCCGCTCCAGATTTCTGTAGGGCTCGTTGTTGTTTAGTCGTTTAGTCGTGTCCGCCTCTTCATGACCCCATGGCCCAGAGCACGCCAGGCACTCCTGTCTTCCACTGCCTCCCGCAGTTTGGTCAGACTCATGCTGGTACCTTCGAGAACACCGTCCCACCATCTCGTCCTCTGTCGTCCCCTTCTCCTTGTGCCCTCCATCTTTCCCAGCATCAGGGTCTTTTCCAGGGAGTCTTCTCTTCTCATGAGGTGGCCAAAGTATTGGGGCCTCAGCTTCAGGATCTGCCATTCTGTAGGGCTCACTTCTACCCTTTTCTTCTCCTGAAGATGTCCCGAAAGGCAGTGGGCACAGATTTTCCCTCGGGGTTTACTCCCAAAGCCTTTCTCACAAATATTTATAGCCTCGAGGCTATAAATGGAGATTTAGGTTCAGAATTTTCCTAGCTGGGCTACCTTCCCAGGTTGACAAGCCCCTATCTTGCCCTCCTTTTCATCACCTGCTAAAACCATTCTTGTTTTGACAATCCTACCCAGATGCTTAGAAAGTTAATTTGTTTTAGTGTTTCGACTTTTCGTAAGTTTTAGAGTTGTAATTTTTTATAGCTTTTATATATTTTTTGTAAACCGCTTTGAGGGCTCTCTCCTTTTTTTACAGTCAAGTGGAGTATACACATTTTATGAAATAAATAAAATAAATAATGATGTAAGGGAAGGAGAAGATAGCGGTCAATATTAAGTCCTGGAATACAATCAGTTCCAGCTAAAAATCATACGTTGCAGAAAATTGCCATCCACAAGTTTGTCTTTTGACATAAGTCATGAATGACCGCCAAGTAGCCTCACCGTCTATAGCTTTGGCGTCTCTCTTGGAAGCTTGTAAAGGATGAGTGAGTTTTCTAGAAATCACAAGAAACAAGACCTTCTTAAACCAGGTATAAAGGGGGGAAACCCAGTTAGACTCCATCCTTGGGCAATGGTTAGTTGAGTGGTGACAGGCAGCAGTTTTTCTTTTTAAGAAAAGTTTAAAGCAGTCACCAGGGCTGGATTTAGGTTTGATGAGGCGCTAAGCTACTGAAGGTAATGGGGCCCTGTATATGTCCAGCTGTCCTTTGTCAACAACAAATTGTCACTGTTTTTTTGTGCTGAATATATGCTATATGGTACTTGATGGACCTAATAGGAATCGAAAGCCATTTGCACATAACAAAATATGTATTTTATCAAAGTAATTGATATAGCAATGAGCAAACCAGTGATATTTTACGGAGCAGGCTAGCAGGCGGGGCCCATTACTTACATCTTAGGAACCTACATAACACAAAACACCTGTTGCTGTATGTAGGTTTTATTTTATTTGTTTTTTATCTTATATTTTGTAAATGTAAATCCAGGTTGTTTTTTCTTTAATTTTTTTTGGGGGGGGCCTAAGAGAGTGGGGCCCTAAGCTATAGCATGTTCAACTTATACATAAATCCAGAACTGGCTGACACAATGAGGGATTTTGATTTCTTTATTTTACTTATTTCCTAAAATTTATACACTGCTTGATTGTTGGGGGAGGGAAAGGTCTCTAACAGCTAAAACAGTTTGTAGAAACATCTACAAACCTACTTTAAATCAAAGCAGAATATTGAATCCTATTGCCATTTCCCCCTGGTGTCAGAATAACAGGATGGGGCCAGATTCATAGTCTTCGGAGAGAAATGCCTTGGCATCACAAAGCCTGCACGAAACTCTCTCCCGCTTTCCCTGCCCAGCAAAAGCCTCCTCATTCTTTTCAGCCAGAGCCTGCAGTACACCTGTGTCGGAGTGCAGAAGGCAGCCAGCTTTTCTTGAGGAAATCCTTTTGGGTGGCCTCCCTCTCAGAAACGGGCTGCTTCACGAAGAAAGCAGATAATGTGGGAAGGCACACAGGGGCGGAATGAATATTTGCATGATCTTAAGTAGAAAGATATCTGAGGAAATGGAGAATCAGAGGCAATAATCCCGTCTAAGAAAATATGGACTGAAATTTAATGATCCCAAGGCGCTCTGAGTATCGCTCCTCTCTTGGGTATCAGCCCAAACAAACAGTCATCCCACATTCTCTTAGATGGGATTATTGCACCTCGCTCTGAATTTTCTCCGGTATTTCCAGCTTGCTCAAATATTCATTCTGGCCCTGTTTGCTTTTTCAGACTTTCTTCTCTTTGTGTGTGTGTGTGTGTGTGTGTGTGTGTGTGTGGGCACCACAGTTCAAGAAGGACACTGACAAACTGGAACGTGTCCAGAGGAGGGCAACCAAAATGGTCAAAGGCCTGGAAACGATGCCTTATGAGGAACGGCTAAGGGAGCTGGGCATGTTTAGCCTGGAGAAGAGGAGGTTAAGGGGTGATATGATAGCCATGTTCAAATATATAAAGGATGTCATATAGAGGAGGGAGAAAGGTTGTTTTCTGCTGCTCCAGAGAAGCGGACACGGAAGAATGGATCCAAACTACAAGAAAGAAGATTCCACCTAAACATTAGGAAGAACTTCCTGACAGTAAGAGCTGTTCGACAGTGGAATTTGCTGCCAAGGAGTGTGGTGGAGTCTCCTTCTTTGGAGGTCTTTAAGCAGAGGCTTGACAACCATATGTCAGAAGTGCTCTAATGGCGTTTCCTGCTTGGCAGGGGGTTGGACTCGATGGCCCTTGTGGTCTATGATTCTATGTGTGTGAGATTGGCATTGCAAAACTCATTTTTCTTTGGATCTGCAAAGAGTGAAGTCCTTCTCAGATGTGGGCAAAAGACACACATGCACACACACAAATTCCCTCTGAACAATTCCTTCTGCGATCTTCCTTTGTCTTCACAATGCCTCTCGGTTTGGTATCGTCTGTGGATGCAAACACCC